AGAGAAACAAAGCTGAGAAACTTGCAAGGGGCACTCAGGAAGAGCAAGCCATCGACATCAGACATAGAGGTTTGGCTCTTATCCTATAGGCAATGCAGAATAATTTGGTAAATGGAGGAGTGATGTGCTGAAATAGGGGTTGTAAGAAAATGAATCTGGCAACAGTGTACAGGATGGATAAAATCAGAGCGGGGAGCCAAGGGGTTTGCAGCAGGGAGGGACTAGAGGGAGCTCAGCTAAGAGGCTTGTGCCATGTCACCTTTGGAGAATGTGGGGTGGCAGTTGAGGTGATGGAGAGGAAAAGGTGCCTGCAAGTGGCCTCATTATGAGGGCCCTTTATTGAATATCCACTTAGTATCTAGTTATCAGTTTGCTTTTACATTGATCATCTCTAATTCTTACCACAATCTTGCATGATAAATAGCATTTTCTTCATTTTACAGATAAGGCATTTGAGTTTCAGAGAGGTTAGGCCACTTTCTCAAACCACACAGCCAATAGAAGGTGAGGCTGACAGTCCAGTTCTGGGCCAAGAAACTTCAGCTGAGTTAGAATTCAGTTGAATCAGCGTTGTTTGAGCTCCTGCTATGTGCTAGATGTAGTGACTGTAAGATGAAGGAGGGTCCATTTGAGAGAGATGAATGAATTACATGAAGCTCAGTATGTGAACAAGTCAGTTGAGGGGGCTGGTGGGGGAATAGGGGCAGAGGAGAGAAGTCCCAGTTTGGGGTCTTGCTGCATCTGGAGTTGGTGAGATGCCCCCGGGCAGGAGGTGCCCCTCAGCAGGAAGGCTGGAAATTAGAGGAGGAGTGGTTGCAGGTGTAGCTGAGGGGGGCTCTGCCAGCTGCCTCTGCAGCTCCATCAGAGGATACCAAGACAAGCAAGCCTTCCTTCAGGCCCTGAGCAAATAGTACTTGGCTATGGGTTTTAGAAATAGATCATTGAAGTTCCAGGTAATCTGAGAAATCATTCTCTTTAAATAGCTCAAATTCTGCATCTTTGTCCATGTTGGTAGGTTTCTGGTTTTGGGGCCACTCAAACCTATTGCTTAAGGAAAAAGGGAGTAGAGTGACATGTCCTGTAGTTTGAGAAGAGTGGTGGTGGGGTTGCTGGTGAGGAGAGCAACCACAGGCTGGGTTGTTGGCCCCTACATTCTGATGTCAGCAGGCTTTCTGGAATGTGCTTCGTAGGGCCCGAATGGTGGCAACCAGTGAGGACTGGAAATGCGGCAAAGAAGGCTTAGCTGGACTGGAACAGAGGTGGGATGGGAGTGGGAGATTACAGTTCCTACTGATATGAGGGGAACCTTTGCAGTTCTGTCGCTCAGTCTTCCTCCTTTGATTGGTGGCCTGCACAATACAGCAGAGTAGCATGAAACGGAGATTCAACAGTCCTGGGAGCTAGTGTGGTTTTGTCACCATTACACTATGTGACCTTGGACAAGTCTTCTCCCAAGTCTAGGCACAATTTCCTTCTCTGTGACAAGGAGTTGCCATCCCCAACCAGGCCTGATTAGTGGGTAGCTGAGGAGGCAAATGGGGGGTGTGGGAGTGGGGTAAATACCCTGAGGGTAAAGCTGTAAATACCCTGAGGGTATTGTCGATTTGCATTTCTTTTGATGTTGGTACTTTTAGCTGAGTTTGACCTGGGCTACAGAACCTGGCTAGTTGAAAATCCCAGGTAATCTTTGGCTGCTAGCCAGTTGCTGACTCTTTTAGGTCCCTGAATATCAAAAGTTGGCTGAATGAGCAAGTAAAGCCTCCTAAGACATCACCACACAGTTATCTTCATTTACCATTTGCCATTTGGGGAAACTGAGCACCAAGAAGGTTTGGTGACTTACCCACAGAGCCCTAGGGAGCACCCTGCTCAACCCTGACTGAGATGATTTTACTTCTAGGAATTGTCCTACCATAGTTTGAAGAAAATATGAATAAAAGTTAGTTACTATAATGTTTTGCACTTCTGCAATGTAATGCACTTGATTTGGTACATTATGTGCATTGGTTTTACTTCTTACAATAATAGCCTTAAGAGGTAGGCACTCTCAATAGCCTCATTTAACAGTTAAGGAAACTGAGGCATAAACATGTGAAAAAACTTGCTGGATTTCCCATAGCTGGACAGAGTTGATTCCAGCGCAGAACTGGCCAACTCTTTAGAGAGCCATCCTCACCATTTTTTCCATAACCAACCCTCCCCAGCATACAGAAGGGCAGGTGGACCTGAAGTGGGCTTGCCTCCAGGAAAGCAGCCTTCTTTGTGATTCAATTTGCCTAATCCCTCTGTTCCCAGGAACTCCAGCCCCAAACCCAGCAGGACAAGTCAGCCTTTGATTCACAAGGATGTCTAGGCCCATAAACTTTTTCACTTGGCTCTTAGAGTTTCTTTGAGGCCCAGACATACTTACTAGTCACAAGCACCCCTTCCCCTAAATCACTGCCATTGCCACTCCCTCTTCCCTGACAAGACCCAGATTGAATGCCACCTCAAGGCAGCTTTTCACAGCTTAAGGAGTGTCTTTCTGCCTTTCACATTTATCTCGGAATATGTTTACAGGGTGTAAAGAATGATACTCCACCAACCAGCTTGAGAAATAACAGGGGCTATTCTTGAAGGCAGTGGTCCCCGACCTTTTTGAAACCAGGGACCTATTTTGTGGAAGACAGTTTTTCCACGGACAGAGAGGGGAATGGTCTTGGGTTAAAACTGCTCCATCTCAAATGATCGGGCATTTGTTAGATTCTCATAAGGAGAGTGTAACCTAGAATCCTCGCATGCACAGTTTGCAATAGGGTTCACACTCTTTCTGAGAATCTACTGCCTCTGCTGATCTGACAGAAGGTGGAGCTCAGGTAATGCTCACCTCGCTCTCCTGTCTTCCAGTCACTTCCTGTTGTATGGTTCAGTTCCTAACAGACTGTTATGTATAGGACTCTCCTGTTAGCCTAAGAGCTTTCTAGAAGCAAAGGCTGGGAGTTCTCCCTTCTTTGCCTGCCCTGCAGCACTGAATTCCAGAGAGGAATAGAATTTCACAAACAATTCCAGTACTGCCACCCTAACTCCCCTATCCCCAATACCAATACTGTGATGATAACCTTAGCAGTAATTTTAAGGCTGAGGTAAAAATGTGCTGTGGAAAATGAGGCACTCAGACATGATAAGGCCCCTATTCTCACCAGACTCAGGGGCAGAAAACTGGGTAATTGTGTGTTTAGGTATGATTGTGTGTGTATTTGGAGGTGGGAGGGGGCGCTGTCTATTGTAGGGCTATCAGTTGCAGGGCTGAGTTGGACCAGTGTGATGTCAAAATATGTCACAGAAAAATTTCTAACCTGAGCAAATGGCAATGCAAATCTCTCCACAGAGAGGTTCAAATGAACTCCTCTTTTCACCTGCTCTTTTCTTTTCTAGATAACCAGCTGTTATCTTGCTCCAGTCTTAATATTCAGTTATGCAGAGTGTTCTTGATGGAAGCTTGGATGATCACATGATCCAAGTGATTCAAGCGTCATGACAAGCAAGGCAGCAGGCACAAATTAATGTTTGCAAGACACAACCAGGGCCTCTAAGGCTAGAGTATAGCTGCCAGCCTCTTTCTACCCTCAGTGCTGGTCCACAGTCTTCCATTTCAAGTGAATGTGTGAGTCTTATTACTGTGGCAACCAATCACAGGCCTGGTGTCCCAGTCAGCTATTCCTGGACCAAGGGTGCTTGCCTATCTCTCTCTTTATTCCTCTTTCTTCCCTCCCAATCCCCTTCCCCTTCCCCTCTCCCCTCTCCTCCCGGATCTCCCATCTGCTGGTGGTTACTCTACAGAGAGGGGACACATTGGTGAGGGACTTCCCAGGGAGGGGTCATCAGGTTTTAGCAGGCTGATCCCTGAGCTAGCCGATGACCAGAGTTGCAGAGGTATGTTGTGGTGGGTAGTGGCTATGTCTTGTTTTTATTCCATCTCTGTTGGTATTTGGGCATTTGGAGAATTGAGAGCCTTGACCAGAAGGTGTGGCTTACATCAGGTATATTTATTTAAAAAGCCATTGGGAACCTATCTCACATGCCAGGAATATGAATCATGTAGTGCCTTTAGAGTTTCCTTCCTAGATAGGGAGCTGACATTTTGAGAACAAAAATGTTCAGAGGAGGAGAGTACAGGAGAACAGTCCACCTCATGGTCTTCAAGTGGAATTGAGGGTTCCACTGATGACCACATTAAAATGTCTTCCCAGTAGGACAGGCAACAGGGGGTCTGGCTTAGATCCACCCTCATAACACCTTTCTGAGGGAAAGATGTTGGTAGGCCTCTTGGATGGCGAATATTGAAGCCCAGAAAGTACCTTTCTTGAGACCCCCATTTCATTGTCTTAGCAGGTCCTAGATTGCAGACCTAGTTTGTGGATCTGTGAGGCTCCTATTCTGAGGTTCTGAAGGCCTGAGCATGGTTCTGCAGGCAATTTAGGAATCTGTGGACAAGAAGTGAAACTTCAGGTCCACTTTTCAGTCTCAGACAAAATGTCAGTGAGAGCCCAGACTAATGTGAAACTGAGGCCTGAATCTAGCAGAACCCTGTGAGGATTCAATGGACTGTTTTGCCAGATACTTTCTAAAAATTCTGTGATGTTAGAGCCAACATCCCTTTTGCCTTTCTTGCCTCTCCCTATCCTCATCCCCTTTGATAGTTGATAATACCTCTTATAGTCAATAGCACCATTAGGCTTTTCACACATCTGCATATCCCTTTACCCAGTGTTCCCCTGAGCTAGGATTGTCTGAAGGGAGTGGACCCAGCAAGACGGCAGGGAGTGCAGGCTTCTTGCTCAGTGTAGAGTTTTGCTGCCTTGGGGCCCAGAGGGAGCTGGCCCAGCAAGCCAAGCATATGGAATAGATTAAGATTTGCCCTGATTTTTCATTCCACTCAAGCCTGATGTCCCATGAGAGGAAACCCAGCCTGGATGCTTGCTCACTAGTCTCTCTGTCTTTGTCTCTCCCATCTCCTCCAGACCCCACTGTGATGCTTCCTGAGTGATCATGTTGTAACAGTGCCTGGAAGCCTGAGGCTGCATTTCCAGCTGGGCATACCTCAGTCGTCCACATCATCATGGAGACCCGAAAGGATGAAGCTGCTCAGGCCAAGGGAGCTGCAGCCTCTGGGAGTACTCATGAACAAATGGCAGAAAAAGGAGCCAAGAACAAGGCAGCCGAAGCGACAGAAGGACCAACTTCAGAGCCATCTTCATCCGGCCCAGGTAGGCTGAAGAAAACTGCCATGAAACTCTTTGGTGGCAAGAAGGGTATCTGTACTCTGCCTAGTTTCTTTGGAGGGGGACGGAGCAAAGGTTCTGGGAAAGGCAGCTCCAAGAAAGGTCTCAGCAAGAGCAAGACCCACGATGGCCTGAGTGAAGCAACCCATGGCTCTGAAGATGTTGTTAGTGAAGGAACTGGCTTCTCCCTGCCTTTGCCTGAGTTACCCTGCCAATTTCCCAGCTCTCAGAGTGCCCATGGGGCTTTGGAGACAGGCTCCAGATGTAAGACGTCTGTGGCTGGAACCACAGAGAAAGCTGGGGCTGAGAAGGTTCCCTCTATGTCCAAGCCAAAGAAAGGTCTAAAAGGCTTTTTTAGCAGTATTCGCCGTCATCGGAAGAGCAAGGTCACTGGGGCTGAGCAAAGTGAGCCAGGGGCTAAGGGGCCTAAGAAGGCCAGAGCCAGGCCTCATGAGCACGTGAGCTCAGTCCCTTGGGTGTCCTGCTCTGAGGAGACCTTCCAAGTCCCTAGAAAGGAAAATGCTACCCCTCAAGATGTCCCTGGGCCAAAAATTTCTCCAACACCAGAGCCTTCTCCACCAGCTACTGAGACAGTGGCCTGTAAAGATCCAGAAAAACCCATGGAGGCCTGTGCCTCAGCACATGTGCAACCCATGCCTGCGCCTGAAGCCAGTAGCATAGAGGAGCCCCATAGCCCAGAAACAGGGGAGAAGGTGGTAGCAGGAGAGGTAAACCCACCCAATGGCCCTGTGGGTGACCAGCTGAGCCTCTTGTTTGGGGATGTGACATCCCTGAAAAGCTTTGACTCATTGACAGGTTGTGGTGACATTATAGCAGAACAGGACATGGACAGTATGACAGACAGCATGGCCTCTGGGGGCCAGAGAGCAAACCGAGATGGGACCAAGCGAAGTTCCTGCCTGGTGACCTACCAAGGAGGTGGAGAGGAGATGGCCTTGCCAGATGATGATGATGAGGAGGAAGAAGAGGAAGAAGAGGTGGAATTAGAGGAGGAAGAAGAGGAGGTTAAGGAGGAGGAAGAAGACGATGACTTAGAATACCTGTGGGCAACTGCCCAGATGTATCCAAGGCCCAATATGAACCTGGGTTACCATCCCACCACATCCCCAGGCCACCACGGTTGCATGCTCCTTGACCCAGTTAGGCCTTATCCTGGCCTATCTCCTGGGGAACTTCTGACTCCTCAGAGTGACCAGCAAGAGTCTGCCCCCAATAGTGATGAAGGTTATTATGACTCCACTACACCTGGATTTGAGGATGATTCAGGTGAGACCCTGGGGCTTGTCCGCAGGGATTGTTTGCCCCGAGACAGCTACAGTGGAGATGCCCTATATGAGTTTTATGAGCCAGATGACAGTCTTGAGAACTCTCCACCTGGGGATGACTGCCTTTATGACCTCCATGGTCGAAGCTCTGAGATGTTTGACCCCTTCTTGAACTTTGAGCCCTTTTCTTCCTCCCGGCCACCTGGGGCAATGGAGACAGAGGAGGAACGGCTAGTGACCATCCAGAAACAGTTGTTGTATTGGGAGCTTCGTCGGGAGCAGCTTGAGGCCCGGGAAGCACGTGCCCGAGAAGCTCAGGCTAGGGAGGCCCACACCAGGGAGGTCTATACTCGAGAAGCTCATGGCAAGGAAGCCTATGCCAGGGAGGCCCACACTTGGGAAGGTCATGCCAGGGAGGCCAGAACCCGAGAAGCCCAGGTCCGAGAGGCTCGTTCTAGAGAGGCTCAAGTCCGAGAGGCCCAGATCCGACAAGAGAAGCCCATCTTAGAGTATCAGATGAGGCCGTTAGGCCCATCAGTGATGGGCCTGGTGGCAGGGGTATCAGGGGCCTCGCAGATTTCCCACCGGGGAATTACCTCAGCTTTCCCCACCACTGCGAGCAGTGAGCCAGACTGGAGGGACTTCCGTCCTCTGGAGAAGCGTTTTGAAGGAACCTGCTCCAAGAAAGATCAAAGTACCTGCCTGATGCAGCTCTTCCAGAGTGATGCCATGTTTGAGCCAGATGTGCAAGAAGCAAATTTTGGAGGATCTCCCAGGAGGGCCTACCCTACCTATTCACCCCCTGAAGATCCAGAGGAAGAAGAGGTTGAGAAGGAAGGGAATGCCACTGTGAGTTTCTCACAGGCGCTGGTAGAGTTCACCAGCAATGGGAACCTCTTTTCCAGCATGTCCTGCAGCTCTGACTCTGACTCATCTTTCACTCAAAACCTCCCTGAGCTGCCTCCCATGGTGACCTTTGACATTGCTGATGTGGAACGGGATGGGGAAGGCAAGTGTGAAGAGAATCCTGAGTTCCACAATGAAGAAGATCTTGCAGCCTCCTTGGAAGCCTTTGAGCTGGGCTACTATCACAAGCATGCCTTCAACAACTACCACAGTCGATTCTATCAAGGCCTGCCCTGGGGTGTGAGCAGCCTCCCTCGATACCTAGGACTTCCTGGCATGCACCCTCGACCTCCACCTGCTGCTATGGCCCTCAACAGGAGAAGCCGCTCCCTCGACACTGCAGAGACCCTGGAGATGGAGCTCTCCAATTCCCACTTGGCCCAGGGCTACTTGGAGTCTGATGAACTTCAGGCCCAGCAGGAAGATTCAGATGAAGAAGATGAAGAGGAGGAAGAAGGAGAATGGGGCCGAGACAGTCCCCTTTCCCTCTATACTGAACCCCCAGGGGCCTATGATTGGCCTTCTTGGGCTCCTTGTCCTCTTCCAGTGGGACCAGGCCCTGCCTGGGTAAACCCCAACCAGTTGGACAGGCCTTCCAGCCAGTCTCCATATGGGCAGGCAACCTGTTGCATACCTCCTATGACCACGTCAATGTCGCTATCAGTGCCAGAGTCGAGAGCACCTGAGGAATCCGGGCCTCAGCTAGCTCGTCCCTCACACCTACACCTGCCCATGGGCCTTTGTTATAACCTCCAGCCACAGGCCTCCCAGAGTATGAGGGCCAGGCCTCGAGATGTGCTGCTGCCTGTTGATGAGCCCAGTTGCTCTTCAAGTTCTGGAGGCTTCAGCCCCAGCCCTCTGCCCCAGGCCAAGCCTGTGGGCATCACCCATGGCATTCCTCAGCTGCCCAGGGTCCGGCCTGAGCACCCCCAGCCTCAGCCCACTCACTATGGGCCTTCCAGCCTTGACCTATCAAAGGAGAGTCCCGAGCAAGGTGCCTCTCTTGCCACCAGCTACTCCTCCACTGCCATGAATGGAAAACTAGCCAAGTAGTTATCAATTCTGGAGTGGGGGCACAGGGCCTGAGCATGTGAATGGGGATCAGGGGTTGGGCAGAGGGGTGGGAGGGTGGGGGTTGCTGTTTAACTTGAAAATCCTTTGGGCCAAGGAAAACTCTTAGGAGTTTTCACCTTAGTTTTCTCACTTCCCTCTTCTGCCATCTATGGCCACATCCAACTCAAGTACATCTGCCCAGGGAGGCTGCTGCTGCTACTGCACTCCAGTTTTTGCTTTTGGGGTTTCTTCTTGTGACCCACGCCGGGTTTGGGATGCTGTAATTTTGTGCCTATTCCAGTTGCCAAGTTAGTGATTTCATATATATATATATATATATATATATATATATATAGACACACACACATAAATATATATATATATAGTATCTATATACACTATACACACACACGGTGTGTGTGTGTGTGTGTGTGTGTGTGTATAGTGTATATAGATACACACACACACAATCACACACACTCATACACATATATAGCATGCATCCTTTACACAGGCTAAACCTTTAGTGCCCCCTACCCCTTCCCCGCAATAAATGATGAACCACTGATTAGCAGCCAAGTCTGCACTGCCTCCTGCTTGGGAATGGGGGTCTTATTTGCTATTAGCAATGTGAAATTATGATACAGATCCTCCCCACCCCTATTACTTTTGGCCTTGGCATAGCTGCCATCATTACATCAGATGACTATAAGCTATTCATCCCAGCTAGCTGTCCTTAGAGAGGATCAAGTAGCATGTGTCTCACTGCCTATTGCTGTGGACTTTGGCATCATGACCAGATGGGGGCCTTTTAGCCTGTACTGCCATAGCTCAGGTTAAAGGCAAAAACACTAATCCTCTTGATGGAGTGATAAAATTTATCCATCTGCAAACAGAAGATAAAACAAGGTTCTATTGTGGACACTGCCATAGAGTCTTGAACTCTGGAATGATAGGATTTTTTTTTCCTTCTTCTCTTAAGCCTGTGACTCCTTGAGTTGCAGATGCTTTTGAATTTTTGTTCTTTTTTCCTCTAAAGGTAGTTTTCATAATCTCATCACAAGGAACATGGTCTTTTAATTAATATAAGGGAAGAGAAGCAACCTAAATTAGGCTTGAATATAGGGGCTTGGGTTTTTGTGGGGTTTAGGGGAAAGATAGAAAATGAGGGTCCCTTTTTCACAGCCAGCAATAGAGGGGATTTTAGACTTTGCAGAGCTTGAGGTATCTCAGTTTCTTAAAAGGGAAAACTACTCCCTTCTCAAGCCTCCCAACACAAAAAGTTCCTTTAGCCTTGCCCACCCCATCATTTGGACTCTGAAATAAGGGCCCCAGGCTTGTACTTCCAAGACAGGATACCAAAGGCATCTCAGCTGCTGTTCTGGGCCCTTTAAAGAGCTTTCATCTAATTAGCCAAGTCCTTAGCATCATCAAAAGACAGGGCTTCTTGGGAGGAAAGAAAGACTGTGATCTACCCTCACTCTGCCAAGCTTCAAGACTTTTGATTTGCATGGCAGTTGCAGCTCTTTATGGAATGAATGGCGCCCTCCCTTCTCCTGCATCCACACAGTTTTCATGTTAAACTAGGTTGGAAATACTGATGGGGAAGAGCTCGCTGTCAGGAAGACATTGGAACAGGCGAATCTTGGCAAGCTCAGCCTCTCATTAATCACCCATAGGAGAGGGCTCCTTTTACATGTCTTTATTGGAAATGGCATCTGGAACATTTTTTTGCTTGGCTTTGTTTGCTCAAATTATGATTATTGCATCCCCTGCCCCTGCCCCACAACCCATCCATCTCCAGGCCTGTTGAGAGAAGAAGTCAACAGGGTTCTTGCCATTCCTGAGATACGGCAATTTAGCTTGGGAACAGATGCTGTTTGCCCCCTAAGTCAAGGTGACTTTGTGGGCAAACTGTTTCTTGGCCAGGGGATGTGTCCATGCTGGTCTTTGTCACCATTTCTCAGATTGAGGTCGGCTTGGTGCCCTTACCCACAAATAGTCGACCTGGCTGGTAGAAGCTGCACCAGTGGAAACACCACATGAATTTGCATGGCACTAACATCACTCCTCAAGAGACCCAGACCAGCTCTTCAGGCTGACTTTGGCTACAAATACATTGTGAAGAAATGTTATTGGTTGTGGAGCTGGAGAATGAAAGAGGGTGAGGAAGGCCCTCTTTACCCCAAGCACAGCATTCCGAGAGAGAAGTGCCCAAATTCCAACTTTCTGGCCTCTTACCAAAGCTGCTCTGGGAAGGTGGGGCTGGAATTGGCCTAGCTGTTTGGCAGGAAGCAAACACTCACCAAATGCCTTTACAACAGGGAAAAAACCCACCTCTTGCCTCTTCTTTCAGGGCAGCTTGAGCTCCTGTTTGCATGTGGACTGTGCCAGCCACAGCAGGCAGTAGAGCCATCACCAGCCTCCAGATCCTGCTGGAGAAGGGCCACCAGCCTATCTGGGAAGATAAAAAGGAGGTGGTCAACCTTTGGCTAAGGGCTGAGAGCTGCCCTCAGGGTCAGGATGGCAGCATGAGGCATTGCCTCTGAGGGGCACTGGCATAGCCCTGACATACTTTGATGGGCTTTGGAAGGTCACACACCACAGAGTAGGGCCTGGGGCTGAGTGAGAGTTCATGGTTTGGACAGCATTGCTGCCTGCAAGTCCCTTCACTGTCCCAGCCAGCCCAGGGACAGGATCCTTACCACCTGAAGTGGGGCAATCAGGATATGTGACTGCAGAGGCAGGTTCCTTTGAATCTCTAGAGCTGAGCAGTTTATGGCTGAAGCTCAGCTGCAGCCTAGAGGAGGAAGGAAGACCTGTCTGGGGACACATGGTGATGGCAACACAGGGTGATATTGGGAGAGCCAGCCAAGCTTCAGACCTCTTTCCAAACACAGACCAGCGCTGTCTTGGGCGGCAGCAAATATGCCCCAGACCAATAAAACTGTTGATATCATGTCCAGACCTCCAAGACTATGACTAGATGAACACCACGTCTCCATTGCAAGGTCCTGGAATAATGCTTTTGGATGCGACTTTAAGGGAAAATTGGACTTAGTAGAAGCAGCTGCCTTCGTCTTGTTACCCAATAGGCCTAGTGCCAGACAGCTGTGGTCCTGAGAATTCCCAGATGATACTAGTCCTTGGAGGACCAGTGAATGTGGAAAGAGAAGGCCACCCAGTGGGCCTCTCCCAGGGACAGGATGCCAGCTTCCTGGTGCTTCCGAGTCCCAAGGAAGCCCTGCTTTGGGGCCCAGTTAGAGCCAGCCCTACCTATCTGGCTTCAGCTTGGGTACCAGGCCACAGGACTGCCAGGATAACGGCTTCAATAAACACCGGTCTCTCTCTCTCCTTAGTCCTATGCCAAGAAGGGAAGTAGCTTCACACACTCAGGAGGCTGGGTGCGTACCCTTCATCCTGCTGCCAGCAGCTTTCTTACCTGTGCCAGTGCCACCACCCTACCTGCCCTCAGACCCCAGGCCCAGTTGCTAGAGGGAGGCATGGGGTTTAGCAGGGAGACTTCAAGTTTACCCATGTGTATGTTGCATTCAAGTTGTTTTTAATATATATATATCAAAAGTCAATTATCTATTTTTGTATTGTTTGCATTTTATATTCATGGAAAACAATGTTTATCAATTGTTCTTTTCTGATTTATTTTTAAGCGGTGCTGTTTACAGTTTTAAACAAAACATTAATGACACAAAAATTGCTGCTGCTTGTGCAGAGGGCTGGCATCTCAACTGCCTAGGGCCCTCCCTCTTCCCCTCTCCCTACTTTAGCTGTATCACACTGTCCGTTCCCTCCCCACATGATAGGGACAGCAGAAGATGCCCAGGTACTGAAGACAAACGCCAATTGACTCAGGCGTGTGGAACCTGGTAGACAGCTTGTCATTTTCTGGCTTTATTTTATGTTTTTCTTTCTTCTGAACCCTCTTTCCCTATGTCTAGATCTTCTGAGGGTACTCATGTATCTTATTTTTTTTTTCTTTTTATGTTTTGTGCTTTCGTTTTGAAACCAGAGTGCCCATATTGTGCTATTTGTCTTGTTGAGTTTCTCCAAAGGAGCATTTTGGGGACATTCTCCACCCAATGGGGAAGGCAGGGGGTTTCAACCATGTCCCCTTTCCTCAAGAAGTTGTGGGAGACAGATGGCAATGATGCTTGCACTATCAGGAATTTACCATCTCGTTGAGGAAACCCTTGTGTGGGACTTCCCAGGAGCTCAGTTGATTGTGACATTTGCCCAGAAGAGGCTTTGGGGAACTCCTTCACCCCTCTTGCTGCTTTGGGGGAATCTCTCCCCTCCCACCACCACCATTCCCCTTCCCCTGCCCTGCTCCAGCTCACACATGGATGGTACTTTGGGGAACAGTGACTTTCAGGGTAATGGCTTGCTGGCCTATTCCCCCACTTTCCAATCCTATAGTCACTCCAAAGAAGAAAATCCACATGGTATGTATATGTGTGAGGGTTGGATCTATTGAGAGGCAGGACTTTAATTATTATTGTTATTATTATTGGTGCTTATTTTTCCTGCTGTACATGGGGGTGGGGGAAATAAAACAGGAATGTATATTTAGGTCATGTTAAATAAAATGGCTGGAGGAAGCAGGGAAGAAACTAGGAACTGCAGTACATCATTACCCCAGGTGTAAGAGTTATTTCTCTCCCAGTGCAGAAAGGGGAGTGTGGCCCCTGGCTGTACCTAAGCGTCCCCTTCTCCATCCCTGAGACATCCCAGAATCACCTGGGTTCTGACCTCCCCACTTCTAGCTCTCACTGACATCTGGATATCTTGATGCACTGCCTGTTTGTAACAACATATACTTCTTTGCTGAATGCTAATAAACTTCTGGGTTCAAGAGTGAACCCCTCAGTCACTAATGTGCATTCTTGTGGTTTGTTCCACAGTAGTGTGCCTGTAACCTATGGTTGTTGGGTTTGCCCTTGGAGAGAAATTGAGAAACCCAAGAGGTGGTGGATGGAGGTGGAGTGGGGAGAACCTAGCAGGGGAAACAGAAGCCAGAGCCGAAATTGAAAGCAGAGGA